AGAACACAAGTGGCAAAGAACAGGGTGACAAATCCACAAGTTTGCGGAACAAAGCAGACATTTGCATGGAAACAGCGTTAGCTTTCCTCTTGTTTATGTGATCTGTGGCCTGTCAGGGTCAGACGGGCCTTGTTACAAAGACGGGAGATCTTAGGAACGCCCTCACTGCTTGAACCTGCTGGACCACATTATAACACCAACTATAACCTGCTAGTAGACAGGAAACAAATCACATATGTGAGAGGTTAATGGTGTTCATTAAAATCATTTTACTGTCCCTATATGGGACCCTGATAGATTCTTACCTTGCAAATGTGCATACATAGGAGGTGAAACTACTAAGATTTTTTTTCTTTTAATCATAGAAATTCTACGACTTTTCACCAATATTTATCCGGCAACTGGGTGTGTCTTAGTACACTTCTTCATGTTTGTAATTCATCAAATAACGTTCCGGGCATTTTCTAAACATCCAGGCCCCGAGAGGTTATGTGAGTGGGAAAAGGGTGACACACTAACAGATGCACCCTGTTCCAACATGTCAACTCTGTGTTCCTCTTAGAGACGGAATCAGACAGAGACCGAGAAGAACCCCGGAGTCTAGAGGGTAGAGGAGGGAAATGACTAGTTTCCTACTCAGCACATGAACTGCCGAGCACAGCAGATATGTCAGTAGAAGACAAAGAAGAGCCAAGTGTCAACTTTAGCCTCCGATTTCAAACGACTATATTTGGACTCGGTTTTTCCTTTTTTTTTTCTCTAAAAAAAATAAATGAAATAGTTTATCTTTTTCTGCTGTGTGCTCAGTTTAAGGGATTTTCATATTCTTTAAACTGGCAAAACACCTAATTAATGTTGAAGAATCACATACGAGATTAATCAAAAGATGACAAGACATGGGTCATCAACTGCCACAGTGAACCAGTGGCACACATGTTGCAGACTGTTTGACAGTGTGAATGATTCGGTGCACACTGATGAGCCCCAGTGGGCGTCCTCCATGAAAAGACAGGAAATAATCTGATACAATTTGCCTCGTTCAGCCAGATTAAGATCTGTGCACCGTTTTCACCATGTGTGTACGTCGTGAAAAAGGAGAGCACGCCACAGTTTCATTGCTTTCAAGTTTTTTTTTTCTTTAAAGGGGATAATTGGCCCCGAGCATCTGATTTGGACAAATCTATGTGCACTGGCTTCTGTAATAAGATCTCAACTTTCACATTATACATTAAACCAAAGGCAAAGTTATTGACTCAGGCTTCGATCGTTCTTTTGATAAACTGTTTTGGCGCTGTAATGTAAATTGGTCTCAACCTCAAAGTTAAAGCAGGGTGGGAAACTTCTGCACGGCAGGTTTTAGAAGTTTTCCAAACACCCATGATTCAGCTTTAATTGATCTCTTCAAAAGATCGTGAAGCTTTGCACAAACATAAGTGTTGCCTTGACATGAATCAAGTCTGTTGAAGCAGGTGACCGTCTTATATCTGTAGGGCAGTTGCCATTGAGGACTGGATGAGGAGCCCCCCAGGTAACATGGCAATCTTTTTTTATTTTGCATTCCCACGGATTACTTTTGCGTGCGCTCATGCTAAAGAAAAACATATATTGTCGTGTTACCTGGGGGGGTTCCGTACAATTACGAACTGCTGTTGGCTACTGAATCACTGCAGTATTTTTGTCTGTGCTACCAATGCAACCTGAGAAAAAGCTCTATGAAGGCCACCGTCCCTCAGTTTTAGTCTACCATCTGAGTAATGCTCAGAACTCTAACGTATGTGGGTCAACTCTTCTCAGCTCAGTGCACTTCAAGTATAAAAATCCCAACAAAAGCACTTTAGAAATGTAGTCAAATTCAAATGCTCATTCAAATAAAAACTTACCCAGTGTGTATTTTTCAATTTAGAAAAGGTTAAGGAAACCAACCTGCCTGTGTACTGGACAGTTCGAGGTATTGTGATTGTTATTGGACCTGGATAGCGCCTTGAAGGACAACATGCCCTGACAGGCTTTTATCGGGTTGCAGTCACACTACTGGAGCATTACTTGAATGGCAAGTGAGCCTCTGTTGTACAGAGCTGTCACTGTCAGTCATTCATCCATTTTCAATTAAACTTTTACAGGCCAACGTTAGGAATTTTAGCAATACTGCTATTAACAATGCTATACTTATATCTATAGACTTAATTCCCCTTGTGACTCTTTATGTTCGTGTTTGATCATCATCGACAGATCCCAATACACCTACATCACAGATGTTCCACTCACCAAAAGGAGCTCTTTGAGTAACAATTCACCAAAAGGAGCTCTTTGAGTAACAATTCTTCAGAGGTTGCTCAGTGAACAGAAAAAAAAAGAAGCAGGTGTCTCCTCCAATGGTGAAAAAGCAGCGAGAAAAGCTCCCACTAGCGGAGCACGATTTAAGCCAAGCCTGGACATTATTCAAATGATGCATTAACTCGTTCACTAGCCAGATGCCCTTCTTAATTCAAGCGCTTCAGGATGCCTGTACCTTACAGCAGTAAAAAACACAGCAGGGAGACGAATCTGCTGACCACATTCAGTACCAACACCTGACTATTGGGATGATTTTTCCATGGTGGCAACACTTCATAACATGAATAATCTTTTTCCCCTTAATTTCCAAAATTAGCCCCTCAGATGGCCCCTTTTCATTGCTCCTCACTCACAAATGCAACAGTAGTTGTAAAAGGAGAACGTTGCATCTTTGATGCTCTGCCATAATCCAAAGACAATAACTAATGTTCTCCTCTAACAACACATTTCCTTCTATTTGTGTTGCAGTAATTTCATTAAAAGTAACTTTTGTTCCATATTTATCAGACAACTCAATGAATCATAGTTGCATCGAGTATTTTTTGTTAAGCTATCAGTATATGAAGCATCAGTGCAGTTACCCATTTATTAACTACAGTTTCAAACATGCAATCCCTTCTTTCAAGATTACATTCGGACATACATAAATTTAATGCAAACTTTTTATTATGCTGTTCTTTATTCTGTTTTCAATAAAGGTTTTTAAATCTTGCCCTTGCTTGTGTTCTTTCAAAATAATTGTGTCAGAGTTTCTTGATGAAGTAGACACTAGGTATAGTTCTACTTTTAGACAAACTAATTAGCAAAGGTCACCATGTAACACTGTGTTTTGGCTACAGAATGAACCACAACCACTGCACTTGTGTTTTTCACTTGGTGGGTTTGCACTGTGACAAGAGTATCACAAAACTGTTATGTTTTATGGCGTAAAGAGAACGTGTGAAGTTTTTAATCAGATCTCATCATTTACGGGCGTTTCTAAGAATATAGTCTATGATGAATTTAGTTATGAACTAAATGTGCTGAATAACAATGTCTTACTCAACCTTAAGCTGATCTATCGTTCACTGAAGCCTTATCAGTGACAGTAAGGAAGGAAAATGGGGAGGAAAGGCTGAGCCATGCAAATGACACAAGCTGTGGACTGAAATTGGTGGCAACACGTCTGATGGAGGAACGAATCCTCCCCGGAACCAGGATCTCAATGTTATTGAAGCAGTGTGGGATCGTAAGCCGTAGAATAAAACAAAAGGCAGCCAAAGTCCAAAAAAGAGCTTTGGGATGTCCTTGAAGAAGCCTAAAGAGCTATTACTGAAGACTAATTAGAGAATTGTCAGAGAGCTTGAGAATAAATGTAACCCTATCACAAACTTAAGCCTAATATGCTGTATCAGTTACATTTAAATGGGTTTCAATAAATTGATGCAACCGTGTTCCAAGCAAAATAAAATAGGGGTAACTGAAAAAATTTGTGTAGTTGTTTATGTTGGACGGGAGCGGCTGCTCAAATCTACTCCTAGGGAACGGAACAAAATTCTTCCCCGTATATATCGCCCCGGACACAAAGGCTAAAAACTTTAGATGACAGATAAAGAGCAAGAATCAATTAGTTTAATGCAAAATGGCTCCAAACTTCTGCTACACTATTGCGGTTCCGTGAACTGTAAAAAACAGGTTTCAAGGATATTTGTGGGAACTACTTGTGTTTTTTATCCTTTTACGTGAAATATGTTTGAATCAAATACCAAGTAACACGTCATTTATAAATATTAACGAAAGTGTGACCACTTTCCATTTGTCAGTCAATGTGACCCTTAAAATTATTTAGTTTGTTGGGGCAAGTCTAGAGTCGAAATTTTTCCATTTAACACACTGTGATAGACATTGAACTGTTTCAGAGCAAACAGCCGTTTCTGCAATACACGGTGCCTCTGCACTTCCTCATTTTCCGCCTGTCTTATTGCATCTGAGGCAGATATCTGATAACTGAGTTAAAGCTATGAAGAACTTTTCTTTTTTTCTTAAAAAGGGGGAGGGGGGGGAATCTAGTCTGCATCCCCAAGCGCTGTTGAGAGAAGGTATAGCTACTTCATTGAGCCATTCCCTGTGTCTCTTTCCAGGAATCCCTGTTGTTAATTGTTAAAATGTTACAAGCTCATTACCTTTGGGTTTGGGTTAGGGTTATATTTCTAAAAAGTAAAGTAAATAGACTTATATCTGACCGTAACAACCAAAAACCAAACCAATAAAATTGTTTACTGTGGTTATGTTGTGCAGACTAGTATATCATGGCTGAATCTTTGAATGTTGACACTGTAGGGGACATTTTCTCCCCAAGGCAAATCCCACATCTGTAAATCACAAATGTATTTGTAAATGTTTAAAATCTGAACTCAAATGATGCCCCAGATCATTGTTGTTCAAGTTTAAACGACACAGCCTTGAAGAAGAGTGTGACCTACTTTAGTCAATCATAGGACAGTTTCCTGGGAAAATACAGATGTTTTTTTGAAGGACCTTTTTTCTAGGAGGAGTAAGCTATTAACCAAAACACAAAAAGTAACAGAGCCAGGAGTTGCTCTGCTCCTCTGCTTTGTGCACGAACTGAGCTTTTCAGCCAAGGTCTGACAGATGTGACCCAGAAAACAGCAAAGTGGTACAATTACCTTCAGCAATAAGCTCTTCCACGGTGACTTGATAGCGACCGACTGCAAACACTTTGCCGAAGTAGCTGCTGACTCCGGAGCTGGAGCTGGAGCCGGACGCTCCCCCGAGCCCGCCGCTCTCGGACTTTGGCATTCTGGAAAACTTCTTCATTCTTTACTTTCTCTGTCGACCCACCGAAATCCACCCACCCAAATTCGTGGCGCGTAAGCCCGCACACAGTTCAAACTGAACTCGGTAGTGTCCAATGTCCCCCTATCTACTTATCTGATATCTTCTCTTCTCCTGCATGCTCTGCGTCGGGTTCTACTGGGAGACTACCTGCTGTCAGATAACTTGACATTTGAAAATTATGAGAGCGTCATGGTGGGGTGGTACAACGCGTCAGTGTCACAAATAAATTGACAGCATCAATTAAAGTCCAAGACGCAGAAAACTTGGTTATTTAGCTTATAAGAACCATAACGCTAGCTGGTTCCAGTCGTTGCTAGCATGCATGCAGTTGGGACGCTCCCCAACAACGAAGAGGACACGGATAAAATATAGCAGCCTCTGTTGGCGATAACACCTCCTTTGGTAGCAACGGTCACCTCTCGTAAATAAATCCCACCCAATAGTTATTTGAATGTAAGCGCTGGGTCGTTTACTCACAGCACAAGTTCTTCACTTCACTCGAGCAGTGCAGCTAGTTAGCTCTCAAGCTACAGTGGCTAACTAGCTTCGCTAGCACCCTAAGCGGTTCCCCCTACGAGAGATGAGCCACCCTATGTGCAGGTGATTCAGCGGAGTAGAAGCCCAGAGCTGTGATACCAGCTTGTGTCCGCTGCTTATCAGAGTCCCTCTTGTCAGCCCTGTCTCTGAACGCTCATACGCCCCATTTATTTATGTATTATTTTTTGCTTTTGCTTCGTCAACAATAAACTTCTCGTGACTTCCCGACGGTAGGCTACAAAATAAGTGGGTGGTTTGTTATTTACCCAATGAGAGTGACAACCAAACTTGACGTGGCCCCGCCCCCTTACTGTTATGATTGGTGTAAGCCAAGATGTATGGAATTCATTTGATGTCAGTAAAACATTAAAATTGATGAATGAGGTTAGAGAAAAAAAATCTAAAGAAGCATCAGATCAAAATTGCTAACTTAAAGTGTAAAACACTTTTTTTGTTTAGCTATCCTATCCATTATTCAGTATTACTATTTAGTAATCTTTTTTATTATGACTGTGTATTTGCATTTAAGGTTGGTGTGTACTGCTAGTTTGAGGGATTAACCTACTGCTAGTGTTTTTTGAGTTTTTTCTTTTGTGGTGTCAATGTTTATTTCTTTTTTCATGCAGTGTTGTAATTCTGATTTGCATTTGCATTTCCTGTTACTTTAGAAATGGTGATGTTTCTTGTGGAACAAGACATGGAACAGATAGAATATTGTTCAGCAAATATATCTGTTATTAGGTATTATGAAATACGATATTTAGAAGTCTTATTTTATTCTTATCATAACTGAGATATTTTACATGTTTCTCTACAGTTGCCTGTCCAAGTAGTAATTGTTGGAGATTGTGGGAATTGTAGTATAAATAAAGAATAAGAGAAAAAGAAGGGGCAGGCTGATGACTTGATGACCCAACAAACCAACTTCATTTTGTGGTCGGAAGAACAAAAACTCTGTTACAAAAGGTTGCATTTTTCACGGTGTCTTTAATCAATTAATTTACTTCGGGATTTTCTTTTTTTTCATTTTACTTACTGTTCTATTTTTTTTTTTTTTGCAAGAAACATTTAGAAGCCCATACAGTAAAAACAGATGTAATAAACTGTTTTTTAAGGGCAAAGATAAGGGATTAAAACTTAATGCCCATTTAGCAAAACTACACCCGATTCATGCCATTGTAGTTTTGAGAAAAGGTCATGGCCTGAATAGGTGATATTGTGTTTATAACTGCCTAAAACAGGATTCGCAGCAAGTAGGTCAAGTTTCTAGTCGGGAGTTTTCATTCATGCCACAGCGATTTAAAGGATGGCATTACAGTTTGTCATGCACGATGTAGAAAAAAATAACTTGTTTACATTCTGCAGTGCTAATCATCAGAACTGCAGCTGATTAATCTACAAAACAACTGCAAAGTCATCTGACCATGTACCATTTTTATCTTTTCCCTCTCAAAACAAATCCAGATGTTTGCAGCCTTTTTTTCTCTCTGGTGTGAAAGGCGGTGTGTTAAAAAAAGTCACACATAAATCAAAACTGGGCCAAAATCTCTTACCTACTTTTTATCACGACATTGGAAGGTTTTAACCCATCTGATATTTCCACAAAGCCAGAATTGTTGGATAGATGCCAAAAGGTCAATAATTGACATTTTATATTCAGAAGTCAGTTCAAGTTAAATTCACATTTGCAATAAGGGTTTTGTCAACATGCAATCTCAGTAGTGTTAGACTTCCATAACAACAGAGACATAAGTCATGTCTTACTGGGCCATGAGTGACAGAAGCAGTTTGGTTAAAGAATGAGAGAAAAATAAAGGCTGTAAAGAATGCAGTGCATGGCTAAAACCAAACCTCATACTATTCTGAGCAAATTAGTTTGTTTATTTGTTAAATGGGAAATCCAAACTCTAGTGCAACTGTGTCAAGTGCTGCTGTTGTCCTTTGAGGCTTCCAACATCCTCATTATTGACAAAGTGATCTTGGCTCCTTTACAGTTTAGCGATGATCCTCTTTAGAGAAAACAATGTAATTTTTCAGGAGGCACTGCCAATGAGGAAGTGGCACAGCAGCTGCTTCTATGAACAAAGGCATGTGTGTCGACTGGACAATCAGCCAGACAATTCTGCCGAGCTTCATTCCTTTAGAGTCTGACTTACAACAATCAAGGTGACCTCGGCCATGAATCAGTTGAAAAATAAAGTAGAAAATGTCTCCTCCTTAAACTAAGTGGGTACAGTTCAATTCGGGTCATTTGTTATAGGGGGAAAGCATGGCTGTGATGGGGATTACATAAAAGATGAGGAGGAGCAAAGTGTGATCACATGCTGGTATAAACCCCCATGTCGGGACATATCCTGTTTCCGTGGAGGGGAATCTTCCTTCTCTGACACACTCATTGTTGGGTGGCTGTCAGTGAAGTGTATGCTGCCACCTGCTGGTGGTCAACAGCCAGATTATGACCAAAGTGGAAATCAGAGGAGAAAAAATAAGCAACGAATGTTAACAAAAATCATACTGTAGGTCTAATAATTCCCATATCATATGTTACTTGATATCAACCTAATTCAATAAATGCTAGTGTAAATTTTCTCATTTTGTACATGTTTACATGCTTTGTGATGGACTTTTCAAAAGTAACCCTAACCCATTTTTTTCAGCAAATTTCTGACAGTTTAGTCACAACTGCCAAACTGTTCTAATTTCTAATATCTAAGCATAATGTTTTAGGATTGCCATTCTTACTTTCTGACATGTTGTACGGTGAGATGTCAGAACAACCTTCCCATTCAATTAGACTTTTTTGTATATTAAACATCTATGCCCTATGCATCAAATTGAAATCTTTTGCATCTAAAACATTTTCCATCACTTTTTGGTAAAGACTTGAATATACTTTATTGATCTCCAGGGAGAAATTGACTAAAATTTCTTTCTAAGACTTAGCTCAAAACCCCGTGTACACAATCTGATATACCAGCTACCAGTGGGAAGAAGAGTGCAATACAACAATATTGACTTATCACACGGTAATAAATGAAAAAATACAAACAATATTTTTGTTACTTTTATTTGTTATGTTTAAAGGACCAAATAAAGACTTCAAACTAAAGATTTTTACTCTTAGTTCGATGTTATATCTGTTATTAGTTTTTTTTTATATATATATTTTTTAAATAAAAAACTTTGAATAAATAATCATCTAAGCCTGCTGACTGTATTCTCTTTCATATGCGTTCATTCATCACCAATTGGTTCCAAGGATCTCGCCCGTTGTCTGCTGGGATAGGCTTCAGGCTCCGGTAGGGAATAAGTGGTATAGACAATGGATGGATGGATGGATGGATGGATGGACGGATAGTTCAAAGGAAGACTGGAGCTTGATTCTTGACAAGAAGAATAAAAAGTCTGTTTTCGTTATATCACAGTCTGATTGCAAAACAAGGCAGTGTAGAGTTAGGGTTCAAGATGAACTTTTAACAAATAAATTAGATTTTTTTTACTATAGTACAGCTCCTTCACTACACTTAATAGATGACAAATAAATACTCAACCGTGCTCATGTAGGCCAAAGCAGTGAAATATAGAGCTACCCCAAAGATGGCTTCACTTTTAGCACCAGAATGTTAGAAGTCCTCACCCGAATATGGCAAAACTACAATTTATATAACCTAAGAAATATCAACAAGAATACTTGTAACCGGTATTTGAACACCATTTGTAACATAATGGAAACACAACCATTACAAATCAGATGACTGTACAAATGAAAAAGTATGTACATTGAGCAAAAATCGGTTTCTATATAATTTAATACTACAGCCTCTAAAGTTTTTTCAATGTTTCAGAAAGCTACGATCAACATGAGAAAAAAAAAAACTCAGACCTTTTGACTATCAAAACCCAACTAGATTAGTTTTTCCCACCAAATAACATTTTCGGTAGAATTATAATTCACTGTTCCAGTCGTCAAACTCTGAGGGGTCTTGCTTTAAGAGCTTGTCCCAGTAGTGTTCTATTATGGCACTGGGCAGCAGCTCGTCATCATTCACCAAATGAACTATCTTGATTCTCTTCAAAAGATTATTTGGATCCAATGCATCTGTAGAAGTGAGAAAAGAAATATTGTACATATAAACCAATTTAAAATCTACAATATGCAGTGGTTAAAAACCCATACTGTTTTAATTCTAAGGTCTGATGCAACAATCCGGACACACTCCTTTAAAGCTCCTTCAAGGTCTTTTAACAGTATTTCAATCAGGCGGAGTTTTGGACTTTGACTGGACTCTCACCGTGCATGCATGACCCGGTGCCATTGTTCACAATTGTTTTGTCTTTGGAGATCGTGGCGGACTTCATGACAGTAAGGTGTCCAGGCTCTGTGCCTGCAAAACATGCCCAAATCCTCAACCCCCCACCACTGGTGCTGTACAGTTGGTATGAGGTGTTAGTTTATTGTCATTGTGATGAGGAATGTAATATTGTGTCTACTCTGTAAGTCGCTTTGGATAAAAGCGTCTGCCAAATGCATAAACATAAACATAAACATGAGGTGTTGGATCATTTGGATCTCTGCATGACATAACTTAACTACTTTTATAGAGATGCTAACACTTCTTAGTGATCATTTAAGAATATTACATTCAAAGCACCTAATTACTATAATATAATTGTTCGGAAGCAGAAGGATGGACTGGAAGTTTTTCACTCACTGCTTTTGAACCTGAGCTTTGTTCATGTTGTGTGTGGCAGATTTATTTGTTACTATTAATATGACACATATTAAGACCTTATAAGGATGACTTTTTTCCTCAATGTTTTTATGAATATAGGTGAAGAACTTTTTCCATATAGCATTCGAAGCAAGCTGTTTTTAGCAGGCTTCAGAAAAACTACAGATAGAAGAAATTTCTGAATTACGGTTTTAACTTCCTGTTGGTCTGGCAATTAACACAAATCTTTTATTTTTGCTACTGTGTATGAAAAACAGTCATTTTGAGTGACAATTGTGTACTTACTGAGTTAAGGTGAAGTTGCTGTGTGTATTTTAAACAATTCAGATCCAAATTTAACAAACATTTTCGGAATTCTAGCCACTAAAATTCTTTCAAAAGCTCAAAAGTAATCAGGCAACCGACCTAAAAGAAGTCTATTTTGTGAAGAGATGTCAGCGATTTCTTGATAATATTTAATTTAATTCAGATTGTTTTTTGCATTTGGATGACAAACTGACCTGGAATCAACTCCTCATGAGAAGCATCAGCATCACCACGAGTGAAACATACACTGTCTTCAAAAAGTATCTGTGATGGGTTTTCTTTGGCCTCCAAGCTCATTTTGTAGTAAGACAAAGGTTTGTCCCCGACAGTAATCTGCAAAGGGATGAGGGTGGGGGGCAAACAAAAAACAAAAACACAGTGAAGTCTTTGATTTTGTGTTCATGGCCTTCTCTGGTGTTAAAATCTTTGAAATAAAAAGAAATTAGAACTGCAAAATGAAAAGCAGAAAGTTTCACAAACAAACTCTCCAAGCACCATGAAAATGAAAATGAGGTTAATAAAAATTAATCTGTACTTAAAAAGTAATACAGATGTGTCAAGTTGATGAGAAATAGAATAAAAAGAAAAGATCTTTGAGTGTCACAGGATATATGAGAACCAAAGTCTCCTAAAACAGTGTTAATGTGACAGACTATAAGGTGTTTGAGGTGCCAAGCATCCATCCATTATAAGAAAACAATAACGTCATGACCAACCTTGTCCATGGCATATGCTGAGCTGACAGGGATGTTTTTACCAAGGATAGACTTCAGCCAGGATTCTGGACTCTGGTGCTGCTTGCCTTTAGTCATTATGGAGCCATCTGCATGTACATGACCAATGTGCTGCTTACCCTGCAAGAAGCACCAAAATCACCTTGCTTTAAATAAATTGGACTGGATTTTCAGCTGAGCTGACAGTGGAAGTCAGCTCCTGGAATAAGTGAGGGCTGAATTATAAAATGAGGATAAAAAAATATGAACTACCTGAAACTGACACTTATTTATTTATTTTCTGACCTTCAAAAGAAGCTGTAAAGCACTTCCAGGCGCCACGATTCCCCCCCGTACAAGCCGATGGAGATATCTGCTGTCTTCTTCACCCCTTTTCTGTATCAGTAAATCACTGTCTTTCATATTGAAACTGGCCTGTTGCACAGTTTTTTCTGGTTGCGGGGCACTGAGGCAGCTGCTGGTTTTGTTATTCTGCAGATCAGGGCAGGTTAGCAAAGATCTTAGCAATCTGGGTTGCGTAACTGGGTTGCTTCGATTCTTTTTTCCATCTTGACGGTGTCTGCGTTTTTCTCCAGGTTTATATGATGCTGGTGCAGACACTAGTGAGGACCAAAGATCTGGTTGCTGTCTCGGTACAACGCTGCATCTCTTATTTGAAGGCTGAGGTAAAGATCTGTCCTTCCAGGGGACACACACTTCTTCTAAATGCACTTGTTTCTGGAGGATTTCCATCAGGTTCTTCTGACATGACAATAATGAAAGGACCTGACTTTTCAGAACATGCTCGCGAAAGGCGACGGGCACTCTCCTGGAGAAAGACAAACAACACTGCAGTTATCTGGAAATTTAATTTGCTGGAAAAAACAATAAAAGCAAACAAGACTTAAGAAAGACTATGGTGAGAACATCACACAAATTCAATTTGGATGTAAACACATAATTTGGGATGTGAAATGCCCAAAATAAGACATTATTTTTTAATATTTGATGGCAGCAGCATTTAATTAAAAAGCTAATATATGTGTCTGTCATATGTCTGTCAACAGCCTTCAGGCGGCACTTCATAGGAACACAATGAGAGGCATCTGTTATGTGTCAATGGTGGGGAGAGCAAACTTCTTTGTTTCCATCTGTTGGAGGAGCAGCATCAGAACCAAAACCTTTGAGAATCTGAACAAAATAACAAAAGTCTTTGCACAAAGAATACTTCTGAAATAATCTTTGTTCACTCAGAGGCCTGTTCAGATCCGCTATGACAAAGAACTATAGAAAAGGTCCTTCCTGCCTTGATTATAATTTCCTTTGAGATTAATTTGTTAAGTAATAAAGTTGTTAAGTATTAAATATATTAGCATTTTCTTTTGTTTAATTGTTGTACAACATCAGTTTGATTCTGTTGCAGAAAAAAAAGGAAGATAACGGTGAATGTGATAATAAAATGCTTCTAAATAAAATCTTCTTTGGGCAAAAGCTTTTTGAAAGTGAACCGAAGCAAAGTGGAAAACTGTTCTGTGGTAAGGGGAATTTCTTTTTGAAAATTACAAAAATCGTGTCATATGTACTAAAGAGAAAAGGAACCACTGGAGTACATTATTCTATATAGAATCTCACCCTAAAAGCTGTAAAATCTCCATCCAGTACAAGTTTATTTTTAGGGAAGAAATTGTATGTTTCAGCAAAAACAACACTATACTACATACTGCATCTATGAACGGAAATAAAGGAGTGAGCTAAGTTCAGGCATCTGATTTGGATGGATTCTGATCGCCTCTCTTTTGAGACCCAGAACGGACCCTCAAAGCTTGGATTTTAAATTTGGTCAGAGGTCAGCTCAATAATCCCCAGGAGGAGCTGTAAAGTGTCAGTGGGGAGAGGAATGTCTAGGTTTCTCTTCTGAACCTGTCACTGCTGTGACCCAGCCGTTGGTGAACGGATGACAATGGATGGAGGGATGAATTTGTTAGCCTCAGACTTTAAGCTAGCCTGCATTCTATTCTGCTTTCGTGCTTTCAAGAGACATGAATCTTCTGTGGACGAAAGAATGTGCAGACATTGGACTAAATTTTGAAGTTGTAGAATTAGGATTAACTCTGTGAAAATTGGAAGTGAAATACAGCAGCTGTCCAGACCTAGAAATGCAGAGGCTATCAATTTAGTTTGTGTGTTTTAGAGAAGCCAAACCAAACTGGCATCATAGCAACATAACAACAGTTCTCAGAATGTTCCCTGGTTCCCAATGGTCAGCAGAAAGTGTGCAGAACCATAGTGAGTTCAGGGTGATAACCGCCACACGACTCATTCTTTACCTGCAGATATGAAATGTTCATAAGGATTAATCCATCGTTAATATCAATAAAATATTCAAATCATAGATTAACCTCGGCTTTTGTAAAACTTAAATGTAATTTTTATATACTCTAAATGTAATAGTCCATTTCAAAGATGATCATAACTGACTTGAATCTTTTGACAAGACTTTTCTTCTCCAGTTGCTGTTTGTGGAGCACGTCAATCAGGACACTCTGGATGTGCGTCAGAGCAGCACGATATCTCCCTGAAAAGCAGCAAAAACTGAGTAAAAATAATAATAATAATGTTTTAAATTCACTTACTACCCAAATTGTTGTTGCCCCTCTGTTAATGAAATGGTCACAGAAATAACTTGAATCTGACAAAAGTAATAAACAGAAATTCTCTGAAAATGAACAAATGAAAGTCAGTCATTGCTTTTAAGCCATGCTTCAACAGAATTATTTTGAAAAAGAAACTCATGAAACATGCCTAGACAGACATTATGGTACCCTTAACTTAATATTTTGTTGCACAACCTTGTGATGCAATTATTGGAATCAAACAATTCCTGTAACTGTAAATGAGACTTCTGCACATTTCAGCATGTTTTTGGGCCCACACCTCATGAGCCAACTGTTCCATTTGTCTCAGGTTTGAAGGTTGCCTTTTCTAGACAGCGCATTTCAGCTCCTTCCAAAGATGCTCAATAAGATTTATGTCAGGGATCATAGAAGGCTACTTCAGAATAGTCAAATGGTCTTAGCCATTCTTGGGTGTGCCAGATGAAGCAAAGCAGCTTGGAAAAAAGTAACATTTTTGTCCTGTCCATCTGTCCATAGGACATTCTCCCAGAAATTCCGGTCTGGCTTTTTTAAGATTTGTTTTCAACAATGGTGTCCTTCGTGGTCGTCTCCCCTTAAGCCCACTTTGGCTCAAACAACTGAACCTAATGTTCCTTGAGCTTGAAGCTCACCTTCAATCTCTTTAGAAGTTTTTCTGGATTTGTTTGTTACCTTTAGTATTACCCCTTTCTTTTGTTTTTGTCATAAATTTTCCTCCTGCAGCTACGTCCAGGTAGTTTGGCGACAGTCCCATGGATCTTAAATTTCTCAATAATACGTGCAACTGTACTCACAGCAAAATCAAGCTGCTTGGAGATGGTCGTATAGCCTTTACCTTTAACATGCTTGTCTATATTTTCTTTTTAATCTCCTGGGACAACTCTTTCCTTTGCTTCCTTTGGTCCATTTCCATTGAAGTAGACATATGTATGTAGTGTCTGACTTTCATTTGTTCATTTTAAAAGAATAGCTATGTATTATTACTTTTGTCAACGGTATATATATTTTGATTCATAACCGCCTAATTCCTGTAGGGTAATTGTGCGCCACCATTATACTGAATATAACCACTGCTGTTAGTGGGCTTGATTTACCTTTGTCTTCCAAATTGGTCAAAGGCCAAGTTGTCATTTCTGCTTGTTTCCTCCTAACCTCTGTCAAAACCGTTGTTATGGCGGATAAATGACTCACCTATAAAAAAGGTTATGCTGACAAACTAAATATCAGCTTCTATACAAAAGACATTTGAGAAATTATGAATACACATTCAATCCAACCTGTGAGGAACTCTTACTTTATTCGTTAAGGTGTTTTCCTTTCTCAGCTGACTATCAGGGAGTTCTTGAGCTTGTCCTCCATCTGTAGATATGGTACCTGAAACAACATGCTCTCAGATCATTCTAAGAGGAACAGTCTTAGTTTGCTAAGACGGGTAAAAAAAAAAACAGACTTATACCTTACTTGACATAACGGCAGCTGATTATTATTTAATCAGTTGACATTACAAATTGAATTTTCGTGTTTTTCAACTTTGGAAGATATTGGAATAATAGGTGGTATTTCAGGGTTAAAAGGAAATGCCATTTTCCCTGTGCTATGGTATAATTCAAATGCCATATTTTAAAAGCAGACAAAGTGAAAAATAATAGATTTATACTTATCACAAATTTGATTTTGAGCATTTGCACATTTTTACATTAGACCTGACACAGACTGAACAGTTATGATGGGTGAAGCAATCCAAGACAAAAGACTGTGTCCGTGTGTTCATGACACGTGCTTGTTCTTTCCCACTATTCGTCACCGTCAAATCAAATAATTTAATCAACTTATTAATTACATTTAATAAAATAATTAAATACCTAAGTTTTGGAAGTCATTTTGTTTATGAAAACTATCAAGTAAATACAATATCAAAACACAGTAGAGCTTCAAACTCTGGACAACACCCAGACAAACTGAACCAAATAATACATTTTTTAAAGGTTTTTCTAGAAATTAAGTAACAGATCAAATCCAGATTAAAAAAAAATTGATCTGGATTCAGAACAGTTCCCTATCTTTGTAGGAGTCTTTTGAACAAAAGAGCGTGTTATACATATAGCCAAAAACTGCCACCTCATTTGGTCATCACTGATTTAATTTAAGAGTTAAAGATCAAGATGATTCAGGGATAGAGGCAGAAGGGTAATGTGCTCTGGTTTAACTACACAACCCACGATACCTTGTTATATCTAACGTGGGCCAAAGGATCCATCTATGAATAATTTCAATGGTTACTGCCCTGTGTTTGCAGGCTTAAATAAGTCGTTATGCTGTAAATTCTAAAATTATGTTCATATAGCAAATAATCAATTGTTTCCATCAAATACATTAAAAGTATATAAGCAAACAAAACCATTAAGAGTAAGAGAGATCAAATGTGTAGAGAGAACATGAGCACATTACTGTAATGCACACCTGCTGGTCTGCTTTGTTTCACTGCTTTCTGAGACTTGTCTTGTGTTGCAGCAGATGCTTGGAAAGCCAAGAGTAGCTCTTTGATATCACCCTCTGCCATGTCTAAAGCAGTTTCACCTCCAACATTTCTGTCACTTGGATCACAGCCGTTCTGAAGAAGGAGCTGCACCACCTATACAACACATTGATTTATCATCATAGTGAGGGAAGTGGATGAAGCTGTTTCACACACTGCCCTCTCTGAAAATGTAAACGTCTAAACAAATATCATGGTGGCCTCTAATAATTTGATCGAAAAAGGATACATGCAGGACAAACAACTCTACTTGTGACTTTGTGAATTAGCTAGATTAGTCTCTACATAAGGCTAAATTGACCTGGCTTAGGGCACGAGTTGTTTGTACAATATTAAAACAACCATGTACTGATTCTAAACATCAATCAATTTGAAATCGATTTGGAAGTGTTTTCCATTTAGTTTTTTTTTTTATAGCTGTAATATTCCCAGAAACAGATAGAAAACTTTAGAAAACCAATACTGAAGCAGAATCAATAATAATGTCATTAAAATTTTTAACATTTCATTCCATAAATTTGCATAGAACAGCAACAGGCACAGCTTTAAGACCACTGTAAATGACTGTTCAACACATCAGAGTTAAATGTAAATTATAAAATGTAAATCATTCGAAATTTTGCTCCTTCCTTATAGTTTGTCCAGTCCAGTCTGGATCAGCAGGTATGTTTTTAAAAACTGACATGGAACAAAAATAAACCTAGATGAGCTAGCACTGATGTGGTTACCCTTATTCAAAACCAAATCCTATTAGAAATTCTGAGCGTTGTACGTTCACAGCAAAATAGTTCCTGCTACTGAGGACCAGCTAATGGATGTGGGAGTGACATTCTGTCCTGGCTAACATTATTTCCATTGTAACAGAGATGTACTGTATTCCAGATGTACATTTGGACATTTTTAGTTTCCAAACTTATCATATATTATCATCTCATAAAGGCGTTGCTACCAAGCCATAAATATTCCATGAGACCATTTGTATTTGCTAGAGCAGACCAAAAACAGAAAGATCTTGTGGCGTAAAAAATAAGATAGGTCTGACTAAATTAGCTCATCACCTTTAAAAGTAAAGCACCTTAAAGTATAAAAGCCATACAAAACAATTCAAAAGAATCACCAAGGCTATATAAACTTTTAAATAAATCCTGAAAATATGCAAAGAAAAAAGATTAAAAATCTTCTGAATGTGTATAATTCACTAGAAAAAAAGCTGGTGTAAAAGTGATGTGTATGTTCTGAGTTTCTCTATCACCTGATAATGTTCAGAGACGACTGCATCATGGAGGGGTGTCACTCCCTCAGAGCTCCTGGCGTCCACATGGGCCCCAGCCTTCAACAGCTCCTCCACCACAGCCTCATTCCCCGCAATACAGGCCTCATGTAGAGCAGTCCAGCCTGTCAGTTCATTTTTTTGTACACTTAAAATGTTGTGTTGTGAGTAATGACAAAAAGCTGCTGAAGCAAACAGATACAAGCAGTAATGAACCTGCATTATCCTCCACGTTGACACTGATCCCAGCCTGAATTAGCGCTCTGACTTGAACTAAGTCTTTTCTCTGGCATGCTTTGTGAAGAAGACTCTCTCCTTTCTCGTTTCTCTTGTGGAGCATCTTTTGGCTGGGGATTTTGAAATGCCCGTTGAAATTTGCTTTGAAGGTGTATCAAATAAAACTAATTAGATTTAAACTGTCTGGTGTCTTAATCTCTGTGATAATTTTTAGTAAACTGTCAGCTCACCTGCCAGCTGGAGCTGATTTATCTTCATCTCCATTTCATTTTTCATCTCAGTATCCCCAGCTTTTGAATGTGAATCTGTTGTGATGAATTCCTCCACATCACCAATGTTTTCCCGGGAGGGGAGGTCGCGCAACAAGCTTACGGAGTTGTCTGAAAATGATGAGTCTTCATCCTGTTGACTCTCAAGTTGGTCAAAGTTGTCAGCAATCTCCATGGTGTCGCTGGAGTTTAGACACGCCATGTGATAGTCACTTAATGATTACTACTAAATTACTTAAGATACTTTCTGCTTAAAAAGGAGGTGAAGTATGTGAAAAAAATTGTCTGTTTAAGGATGTTAAAAGCAATACGGAAATGTTAAACAAAGAAAACCAGGACAAGACCTGGGAAAAGGAACAAATTACCCAAATGAAGTAGAAAAGGTCCGAGAATGAGAGTTGGAACCTGAAAGAAGAGGAACTATAAGTGAGATATGAGGCAGATGAACTTTCAAATCATTTAGCTTTTATAGCTCTTTCAAATGATCTGTGTTCAATAAAGTTTAACAGTTGAATTCACTAAGATGACCTAAAATCAACAAACATTTAAATTGGCAGGTTTAGTGAAGAGAAACAACAAAGTCATGCCAAATGTCAAAACCTGCTCTGTGGCACAGACCCAAGTTCAAAGATGATGCTGCTTTTCCTTCTGCTGTCGAAGTTCAGAACAAAAATCTGCACCAATCCCATTAAGGGATAGGATCATTAATATATCTTTAGACACCTTTTTAAAGCCCAAAAATGGACTTCTCTATAGTAATCAAGTCAGACAAATAGATACTTTTTTAAATCACTTTTTTTTTTTTAAAGTATCCACAAAGTTGGAGCTCAATGTGGAAACAAAATCATGAAACACTGACAAATACTGAAGTAAGTTGTTGATGATTTGTTAACCAAGTCTGTAAATGTTAGTGACCTCCAATGGAGTTTTCCTTAGGTCCACACACACCCCCCACCTGTGCACAACCAGTGACATCATTAGAGGAAATGAGTTTAAAGAAAAAAGCTACTTGAAAATCACACTAGATGGCAGCATAAATTAAAAAATAACACAGCACCACCAACCTGAATGTGATAAATGTACTTGCACTTATATAGTTCTTTTCTAGTCAAACTGACCACTCAAAGCGCCTTACACTACATGTCAGTCAGTCAAGTTTGTACGTGTACACTCACACATATACACACACACACACACACACACACACACACACACACACACACACACA